TTAGATATTCAAGAAGTTCATCTGGTTCGAGACTAATTACACAGCCTGGGCACCTCGCACTCTGCTTGTGCAGTCTCTCCCCACCGGTCTAAGTAAAGTTGTCCCTGTACTTAACTAATTAAGCACTACGCCGTGAAGACGTAGGGGGGGAGTGGATGTATAGATCCACATTTTCTTGATCTCGGCTCTAGATGGAGGTGAGTGATCAGCTTCAAGCTCCGGCCACTTTACCCCCAGGGAAAGAGCCCCAGATACACAGTGGATAGGAGGCTGGGTGGGCTCCAGAGCCGGTTTGGACGACGTGGAGGAGAGAGAATTCTCGACTGTGCAGCCCGTGGCCAGTCGCTATCCCAGCTCCCTAACCACGACTTGATACTGCAAGTTAATGTGGAATGTCTGGGGGAGTTCCCTTGGTAGCTGGGAAGGAAGCAGGATTGGTTATTCTAGTTCAGTGTGTCTTTGCGGCATGATGGCGCAGCGCAATGCGAATCCGTGAAGACTGGGTGTGTGTAAGCAAGAACTGACATTCTAACGCAACGCAAATAGTATCTAAGTTTTGGTGACAATGGCAAATTATAAAATGATTGCCTTTTTTTTGACATTGTCTACCGTCATGTTTTTTTTTATACAACGTTTCTGAGACTGGACTCCGCCTCCGTCCTCGGACAAAAAATAGGGAGATAGTGACTAGCTCTATCGATTGGGCCAAAATGAGTATGCATTTTACCTAAAGACGGAGGCAGAGTCCAAGTCAAAGTCACATTGCGACTGACGGTCAGTCAGTCTGTCTGTCTTGGTGTCGAGCCCCGACTGGGGCCCATGCCCAGATTTTTTTCTTATATGAAAGTTACTGTCCTGTTCATTTGGGGCGCCCTCTCTGACGAAAGGTCGGGTCTGTCATTTGTCAGTCATAGTCCGTATTAGTAAGTCCATTGTCAGTATTTTCACATATTTACACATTTAATCTTAATTCCTATCTCTATGTACAATGTAGAATTCAGGCTCAGTACATCAAATTTTGCCCTATTTCTAGTAGTATTCGCTACCACAGTAGTCTAGTCACTTGAACGATGGCAGAGTCCAGTGTACGAAACGTTTCACATAAGTTTTGATGCGACACCCACCGCATAGAAAACACCACGTACAACGGTTGGCCTATTGTTGCGTGTATATTTGTTACCACGGGATCGTGTTTACCAAGCCGTTGCCTAGTAATGGCTCACTCTGCTAGTTCACTTTTCTGGCTTTATGAGGAACACATAAACGGCAAGATGATCTCATAAGCCTTTTTTATTTTCTTCAAAATTAGGAAAGTAGGCTAAATCGGGCGATTTGTAATGTCCTAAGTTTTAGTGCTGTTACTGCCTCGTATCTTTAGCCGCAGTAGAGGGGTCATACCATCTCTCGCGGAGCGGGGGGAGCAGTCTTGTCAGCCTACTTCAGCGTAGGTACTACCAGTTTGGAATGTAGCGTCTTGGAGTGTGGTCAGGTGTATAGTACTACTCCTGGTCTCAGTAGGTAATGTTTTCCGCTCGGGGAGTAACTCTGAACGGCCCCACAGCAAGCGTATAGCTTCGCTTGCCCCACAAAAGCGTTTGCCTTTCCGGGCGGATAAAGTTACCAGGCAGTAACAGTAGTTGCATTGACGTAGTGTAGTTTATGTCCTTGAAGGCAGCGATATGCATGTAAGAGCAGCTGGAGCGTGACCCAAACTTAAATTAATCTGAGCGAATGGGAATTCGAAATTAACGGCCAGAACACTTGACTTATCGTGTGCCTTGACACAGCATGTTTTCTCATTGATTGTCTTTGGTCTCAGTCTTGCTGCGAGGATAGTGGAATTCTGGCAGTACGCGAACTCTGGTTAACTTCTTTTTTCCTTGGCACTACAGCCCCAGTGGGCCTAGGCCTAACTCCATGAACTTCTCCGTTCACTTCGGTTTTTCTAGATCTTACACATTCGGTAGGACTCCTTGGGCGGGTGATCAGCTCGTCACAAGGCTTCTACCTGTACACAAGCACAGAGAAACGCACACACACAAACTAAACATCCATACCCTGAGTGGGATTCGAACCCACGATCAAGGTTTCCAAGCGAGCGAAGACAGTACATGCCTTAGACCGCTCGGCTACCGTGACCGGCGGTTAACTTTAGGAAATATAAATATATTGTCACGTGTAGGAGGTACGCGTGACGAGAATGACGGGTTCAAGTTCAGGTGAGTGGATTTATTGCACTTCGGTTTCGATCTGTCTCAATCACACTCAAATTACGGCCTATCACTGATTTACACGCTTCATAATCCACTGTTGCACGCACACACCAGTCCTCTTCAGGTAACGTATCTGAACACAGAAACCAGCGCTTCAAGTCACTGCAAATATTGCGCATTATTAAGGTCTTCATGTGACACTTTAAATCTTCGCAGGTCTTCTATGAACTTCACGTCACTCTCACTCTTAATGTTACTTGAACACACTCAAACACTCTCAGATACTTCCACCTGTTCCAAGTCCAAGCCCAAGTCACATTGCGACTGACGGTCAGTCAGTTAGTAAGTCTTGGTCTGGAGCCCATCTTGGGCTCATGACCAGATATTTATTACTGTCTGGCTATTACGGTCTTGTTTTTGTGGGGTTCCATCTCTGACGAGAGGACGGGTCTGCCTTTTGTATATGCTGCTGACCCTTGCCAGTGAAGTCTTTCTCGGGTCTGAGTCCCTTGGGACTCGCGACCATATTTTATTGTCTCAGATTTTAGACTTCCCTTTTCGTCGCCTCCTACGACTCGCAGGGTGACGGTGGAGGTATTCGAACCCGCCTCCACAGGGGGGCACTGAAATCTGTCAAGTCGGAGTCAAAAGTCACATTGAGACTGACAGTCAGTCAGTCAGTCAGTCAGTAATTCTTGGCCAGATATTAATTATTACGGTTTTCTGTCTCCAAATAGTTATATACCCTCCGCACCGACCTCGCACAGAAAACAAAACCTCTGTTGTTGAAACGTGTTCGCGTAACTATTGCATGACAACGCTCGCGGCACGGACTCCATAGAAAACCAGTTACGTGATAGTTACCTCGCTAGTCGATTGGCGCGCTGACTGTTACCTAGCAACGAACTATAAACATTCATCCTGTTGTTGAGTTCTCTTACGAGGCTGAATGTTGTTTGCGGGTCGTTGCCTAGAAACACTCTGGCTATCCGCGTTACAATATCTTATCACAGCTGGATAAAGTATCGGTTCTTTTTCTTTTCCTACTGTTATACCTGCGAGTATAATCAGATTTGTGCCTAATTCATACCGTGCAGATACGGTGACAGACCTGATGAGCCATCTGTTACCGTGAAACGTATGCATAGCGATACTCGGCCATTTTTATTTTTAGCCATACTGACAGATTGCAAAGCCTCGTTTATCTAAGGTCACTTCTCCATGCGGGTATCCCATAAACCGTTATGCAGGTATACGTTTAGTTTGACATTATGCAATTTTATACTGCTGTGTATATGAATTTCGCTCGTTTTGTTTATTACTTACTAGCTGTGCCCGGCCACGCCTTGCTGTGGCTCAGTCTGCCCGTTCTTCCCCAGTCTGATTTGAAATTACTCGACGCACAGAACACCTTGTAGAAGTGTTTGGTTTCCATGGAAGTATACTTTCCGGTTTCATCCCTTGTTACGCAACGGAACCTCTTATCCTATGCAACGGTCTGTTCTAGCGTTTATGGAAACGACTGCGCTAAAGAAGAAGAAGAAGAAAGGAAGTTATAACAAAAACATAAGAAATTGCAAAACATTAAAAAAGGAAAGAACGCGAACTGGAAAACAAAGAAGAAACAAAAAAATAAAAAATACTGACGAAATATTTCAATTCAAAGGCAGAACAATCGACACAGCTTAATCCCACCGCTAATTGCACCGGAAAATAAGGGAAACAGTTAGGAAAACGAAATGAAAAACAACGAAAAATAAACTGTACTCACGAAATGAACGCTATGGTAAACGACACAGCTCAATTCCAACGCAATGTAACACGAAATAATTAAATCAAAATTAAATCAAAATGAAAATAAATCGAAATCTATCACGCGAGTATTTATTTTTCCTCGCTTTTACACTTATACACTTTGCAAGAATTACCACTTGCAGTATCACAACTAATCCTATTTCGCCTAGCTTCTGGCCCAGTGCTATGCTGCCTACGTTGTCGTGGCTGGATCTCGACTGTCCCTGGCGGCGGCTTCCTATAGACTGTTTATATTCCTAGGCAACGATCCGCTGTCTCAACAGTTCGTTGCCACGGTTATTCCTAGGCAACGATCTGTTGGTATTCGATGGACGACGTATAACACGTTTTTTACCTGTTTTTACTTGTCACGGGCGTGACATCTATATAATAGGTATATAAAAACACGCGCGTGTTCGAATGCAACGTTGTGTCAAAATTTCGAAGCGATCGGTGAAGAAGTTTCGGAGATCTTCGGTAAGACTCAAACGAACATTTACATTTTTATTTATATAAGATTGTTACGTGTATATGTTGCCTATCAACGGCCACTGTACGGTCGCCTATCTCGCAATCACCGCCTAGCAACGGGTATACATGCCACAATATTGTATTTTGGTGAAACGCCATTTATAACCCACAAAGGATTCCTTCTGGGAATTTTGTGTAGCACCTTATGGATTTAATAGCATTTGAAACCTTGTTATACAGTAGGTGTTAAAGTACTGTTACGTCACAACTGAAAGCCGGAATACCGGAAGCAGTGTAGAAGCCCGTTGCTGGGTTACACTGAGCCAGAACAGACGTCAATTCCTAGGTAACTGTTCTACAAACAATGGCAACAGATACGTACTCAACAATACAGGAACTGCTGAGAGCGGCTTTTTCTGTGTGGTCCGTGCCGAGGCTATATAACGAACTGATAGGCGGTAAACCACCAGTCGTAGAGTAAGGTGGAATTTTGTAACGATACTTCTTAAGGGAATTGGAAATAATTGTGATTGTAACATGTCACATACAACCGATATAAGAAATTGTGAATCGTCTGGTGGTGAACCCAAGGCTGCACCGAATGAGAAAGCCCAATCTTCTGATGAAATGGACCAGGCAGGTATCATTGAGTCAGCCGGGGAAGTGGTTGTTGACAGTTTTGATGGTATGAATTTGAAGGAGGAGCTGTTAAGAGGCGTCTATAATTATGGGTTTGAAAAGCCTTCTGCTATCCAGCAACGCGCTATTGTGCAATGTTTAAAGGGACGTGATGTTATTGCTCAAGCCCACTCTGGTACGGGCAAAACTGCAACTTTTTCAATTTCTGTGCTGCAGCTGATTGATGTGTCTAAACAAGAATGTCAAGCCCTCATCCTTGCTCCAACCAGAGAATTAGCTCAGCAGACACAAAAGGTGGTTATTGCTTTGGGCGACTTCCTGGGTGCCCAGTGCCATGCGTGTGTTGGTGGCACCAGTGTTCGCGTGGATATGAGGAAACTTGAGTCAGGAGTTCACGTTGTTGTTGGAACTCCTGGTCGCGTGCTTGACATGATTAGAAGAGGAGCCCTGAAGACAGACAGCATAAAGTTATTCGTTTTGGATGAAGCTGATGAAATGTTGTCCCGAGGTTTCAGTAATCAGATCTGCGATATCTTCAAATCGCTGAATGCTGACGTTCAGGCCATCTTGTTGTCTGCTACTTTGCCTTCAGATGTACTAGAAGTCACTTCTTGCTTCATGAGGAACCCTATCCACATTTTGGTCAAGAAGGAAGAGCTAACTCTAGAAGGTATCAAGCAGTTCTATATATATGTTGAGAAAGAAGATTGGAAGTTGGAAACGTTGTGTGATTTGTATGAGACTTTGAGTATCACCCAGTGCGTGATCTTCTGTAGCACTCGTCGTAAAGTTGATTGGCTGACTGAGCACATGAACAGCCGTGATTTCACCGTGTCAGCTATTCATGGAGACATGGAGCAGAGTGAGAGAGATCTGATCATGAGACAGTTTCGAACGGGGTCCAGCCGAGTGTTGATCACTACCGATCTTCTGGCTCGCGGTATTGACGTGCAACAAGTGTCCTTGGTTATCAACTACGATTTGCCATCAAACCGTGAAAATTATATTCATAGAATTGGCCGTGGTGGACGTTTTGGCAGGAAAGGTGTTGCTATAAATTTTATTACTGAAGAAGATAAAAGGACTCTGAATGACATTGAACAGTTCTACAACACCCACATTGACGAGATGCCGATGAATGTAGCGGACTTAATCTAAGCTCCGGTTACATGTAAAGTGGCTGGAGTCTGAGCTCTTGTTTATGATGATATTGGTACTGGCATGGTCGTGTTTCAAAAACTAAACTGAAAGCAGGAGTAACTGAGGCAGAAGGACATCCATTGCTAGGCAACTGTTCTACAAACACATTCCCGCTGCGCCAGCTACGTAACACCAATAGAAGAACTGTTGGGAGTTAACGACCGATAGTTAACCTTAAGCACAGAAGCAGAGTAATCTTCATTGTTAGAAGCCGCTACCTATCAAAGACTAGCAAAGGCATAACAGACTAAAATAGAAGATACAAAGTGCATATGGCCAATTAGTGAGAACATACATACGAAGGGAACACAAACATGGATACCGTGAACAGAGAGAGAGGGAGTTTTATTTTCAGACAAACGCATTTTAGTATGGACAACGATATGCAATATCATATGAATATATTGACTTAGGATCTAATGCAGTGTGACGGTTTTCAAAGAGTGAACAATTTCCTGAAGATGGCCAAATAAGGCCGAAACTTATAGCGCTTGATGCGATTTTAGTGTTACTTTGAATTAAAGAGTGATTGTGAACAGTTGAATTTAATTATTGTTATTAATTATTCTGTATTATACAGAAACGTATGAAATTAATGTATCTGTAGAGGTTAAAATAGTAAATATATGTCCATTAATTACTTCAATAAAATAATAATTAAATTATTTAAAATGGTCCGAAAGAAAAAGGGGACAGTATGTTCACTATTCCTCTATGTCTTTGTTGTATTGATATGCGTGTATAGGCCTATGTATGTATGTCGTCGTCGTGAGTCTTGTTTGTTGATAATGTTATTGGACGAGAGGTCTGTGAGAAAATGCATCCATGTAGAATTGTAGTGTAGAAATCTCTAGGAAAACATGCAATTTGAGGAAGTCGAAGGAGAGTCAATGAAGCCGAACGAATGGATTCTAAGCTAGATCCCTCCGGACCGAGTGTGTTGTCAATATGTTCGCTGTGGTCCTCATGAAGCTCCTGAGAGCTCAGTCAAATACGTACACAAAAAATTACGATTCTGATGGATACAGAAGAATGTAATATAAGTAAAAGGTAAAATTGTGCCTGTGGTTTTATCAATTAAGGACAAAACTCCGTGGCTTGTAGTCCGTAAGCGAACTATACCGACCGAGCGACCGCCGCTTATCGGCTAAGTTAGTGCCAGCTTTTGTGGATAGAGGGTGTCACATGGTCAGCGCAACGGATCCCCACGGCCGTTAATCTCGGTTTTCTAGACCGGAATTAATTAAGTACCACCCCCTGAAAACGTATGGGGAAGTAGAGGAATACCTCCACCATTCTAGACTTGAACGTTGGATGGAGGTGAGTGGGTCAGCTTGAGCCGCTTTACACCCGGAGAAAGAGAACCTCTTACCCGTTGAATAGGAGGCCTGGACTCTGTGGAGTAGGGACAACTCTTTTGCCCTGCCGGGAACCGAATCCAGGTAGGCCAACCCTTAGTCCGTTACTATACGACTTAGGTATCCTGTATAACATTTGAGTGGTCTACACATTTACCATTCGCTTATATCTAGTACAGAAGTCACGAATGGTGGAGAAAAACCTCCATTCCTCCTCACGGTTCCATGTCATGATGCTTAATTAATTTAGAACGGCCACAGCTTTGCTTTTACCAATAAGAAGAGACATCGATTTGACAAACTAGTATAAATATCAGCGACTTGCGGCCATTCACCAAATCGACCCTGATGATGGAGACCAAGGAGATCTCCGAAACGCTGGTTTTTAGTTCAAAGTTGACACGGCTGTTCGCCTTAGAGGATTTTAGCGCATTTGTTCGCCCTGAACGCTTCAAACCTTGCATCAGTCTACTACGTTTACCTTACATATTTCTGTACATGTGTTCAGCTGTTGGCACTTCTGAGCGCAGTTTTGGCATCCCTGTCACGAGAAACACGAGTCTGAGTATCAGTTATACAGGCTACCGTTGCGGGCGTGCCCTATGCTTTGTCCTTGATCAGTCACCTGGTACTGCTGCCCAGGTAACAGACACAGCTTGATGACGTATTCAAAATGTCTCTGACCTTGCTTTAAATTTCTTTGCAAGTTCGAATCCAATGTTCGAACTGTGACGCTCACTTTCCGTGATTCCCCGTATCCCTGGTAAAGCTAAGGCCTTACAACCAACCGAACCTCGCGGTGATTGTCTCTCCTTCCGGGGTCATCCCATGTGAAGTCATCCAGAGAGGTCGCTCACCATTTAAAAAAAAATCATATTTTGTATACTTATTTCTACATGTTTTCACACTTCAAAAATATTTTTAAAAAAATTGTAATCCGCTCGGTTCTCCCGGTACAGCCGTTTTTATAATGCGAAAAAAACGCGTTTTCGGCTGAAATGGAGGTTTGCGTCATCTTCTGTATCTCGATACCTATTGAAGCTAGAGACTCCAATAAGAAATCAATTTGTTCTTCATGATATGGACTACAAATCATATCATTACAAGGTTTCACTCAACTCACTTCCTCTAGGTGTAATTAGGCTTGAAACTTACCTATCGATTTTGGGAAAAACGCTATTTTTGACATTCAAAAACCAGTGGGAGGGGGAAAGTATAAGTTCTGTGGATTCTACCCTTTGTTGTTTCATACATGGGGAATATAATCACGTAGGTTGAACCCTGTACCTAGTTTCCAGAAATTTTCAGGAGTCTTCAAACTTTGCTCTGGGCCCAAAATCGGCCATTTTTAACAACCACAGATCTGATACTTTCCCCCTCAGATTCGTTTCTGAAGGTCAAAATTAGCGTTTTTCCCAAAATCGATAGGTACGTTTCAAGCTTAATTACACCTAGAGCAAGCGAGTTGAGTAAAAACGTGCAATGACATGATTTATAGGCCATATCATGAGGAACAAATTGGTTTTTCGTTGGAGTCTCTAGCTTCGACAGTTATCGAGATACAGAAGATAATGTAAACCTCCATTTCAGCCGAAAACGCGTTTCTTCGCATTATAAAAACGGCTGTACCGGGAGAACCGAGCGGATTACAATTTTTTTAGAAATATTTTTGAAATGTTTTATAGGATATTAATGACATCAGAATTTTGGAATGAACCGCCAATAGCCCCTGACTGCAGTCTATATTCAAGTCAGAAAGATAAAGTTACCCCTGTGCTTAACTAATTACGAGTGAGCACTACGCCATGAAGGCGTGTGGGGGAGTGAATATATAGATCCACGTTTTCTTGACCTTGGCACTAGTTTAAGGTGAGTGGTCAGCTTCACGCCTCGGCCGCTTTAGCCCCGGAGAAATAGCCCCCCTTACCCATTGGGTAGGAGGTTTGGTGGGCTCCAGAGCCGGTCTGGACCTCATGAAGAATAGAAAATTCTTGACCCTACCAGGACTCGAACTTGATCTCTCCGTCGCCTAGCCCGTAGCCAGTCGCTATACCGACTGAGGTAGGTTGGTCGGCAGAGAGCAGTTTGCGCATGGATAACAATCAGAGTGGATCACGTTTTGTAGAATTCAGCATGTTATTAATCGAAAATGCACCTGTGTCAGACACTAAAATGGTGTAATATTTGGTAAAAATTTCTGTACAATGTGCAAAATATATTTGAATAGAACAGGCTGTACGTGGGCCAGCAAATATCTGAAAACAACAAAAAACATACAAGGCCTCAATCTAGAGCTAAAAGGAAAATAAACTTGTCAACCCGTAGAATGCTATGACGTTTTTACGTTATATCCTCATATCGGAGGATATTAATATTTTTTTAATATTGTCACGTGTGTAGGTGACAAGAGACGGGTTCGGATTGGTAATTGGATTTATTAACAACCTACAGGTCGTAACTACAAATAATTATTATACTATTGCTGCTTTACACAATGTACTATCACTCCACACTAATCACTTCAGCCTATGTCCACTAGTCTTCACGGATGTATAACACAGGAACTAAACCACACACTCCCAATATCACCATAATACCGCACACGTAAAGTCTTAACATGCCCACCTCCTGCACTCTCCTGTACTTCTGGTTTCAGTTCTCTTCTCCAGCTTACGACTGACTTATTGTCCTTGCATTCATTTCTCTTATAAGTCGTTGGCACGGACCACGCACAGAAAACACAGTTATATTTTTGCCTAAGGAAGACCACACAGAGAACGAGTCACATGATTCCTGACCAGCTTCTTCATTCGTGCGCTGCTGCCTAGCAACGCGCAATAGAATTCCTCTATTGAGACATCTTCCATTGTTTCCTTGCCTTGCCTTATTCGGTCGCGGGTATTTACCGCCCCACTACCCAGCAGCTCTCTGGCCATCCCCCTTGTAATATGTAGGCAAAAGTTAGTAAAATTGTCCCTGTGCTTAATTAAACACCACTCCATGAAGGCGTATGTGAAGTGAGGTATAGCTCCATCATTTTTTACCTCGGTACTAGACGGAGATGGGTGATCAGCTTCACGCCCCGGCCCCTTTAATCCGGGGGAAAGAGCAGTTGATACCCTTAGGATACGAGGCTGGATGAGCCCCAGAGCCTGTATGAACTCGGTGGAGAAGAGATAAATCTTTTGCATGTGCCGGGAATCGTACCCCATCGGTCCAGCCCGTAGCCCCGTCACTATACAAACAGAACTATCCCAGCAAAAACAAACTCCGCAAGCGAACTACACTGACCGAGCTACCGTCGCTTGTCGACGAAGTTAGTGCCAACTTTTGCGGACAGTGGGTGTCGCGTGGTCAGCGCAACGGATTCCCACGGTCGTTAATCTCGCTTTTCTAGACCGGAGCCTCTATTTTCTTGAAATAGCTCCTCAGTTATCCACACGAGGCTGAGTGGACCCCGTTCCAGACCCACTACTTCACAGAAAATTTGGTAGCGTCGGGAATCGAACCTGGGACCTCTGGACCACAGAGGCTGTCTGACCCATCGCAGCTCCATTGTTAATATGTAGATGGGTACATTCAGGGCAAGGATTCTGAATC